GGCTGTAAAAATTCTCGGGAGCAGAAAGCCTCATCTTTCTTCCATGGAAGGGCTGGTAGTTTCCAACTGCTGACCAGGTGGTTTGTAGCCGTATTCGTAAGCACTAGGCTACCAGAGCTTCATATATATATATATATATAATTTATATTCAGCACCTCCAACCCCAAGCCTAAGATTGTATTTTCCAGTACTTTTAACTATTTGTTGAAGTAAAATGATATATATATAATTTATATTCCCCACCTCCAACCCCAAGCCTAAGATTGTATTTTCCAGTACTTTTAACTATTTGTTGAAGTAAAATGAAATATTTCCATTTACCTGAAAATCGCTATAGAATCTGGTTTGAAATGACTGAAAATATTTGTTATAAGAAGCCTGGGTATAATTTCTGACAAAAGGAGCTCTGGTAGTGTAGTGGTTACGAATTAGGCTGCTAACCTCAAGGTTGGCAGTTTGAAACTACCAGCTGTTCTGCTGGAGAAACAGGAGGCTTTCTGCTCCCGTAAAGATTTACAGCCTCAGAAATCCTGTACAGGGTCACTATGAGTTGGAACCGACTCCACGGTACTTAACAACAACAACAATTTCTGACAGACTTGAGTGTTTCATCGATGTGATTTAATTTAAATCTCACCTGTGTTTTCCAGTCTCTTTTATGGAAGAAATAGTTCTCAAAGAAGTTCAGCGGCTCTCTTCTCCGTAGCATCTCTAACTTCTGTATGTCTTTGAATGGCTTTCCCATCACCACTCCATCCACATTAGGAAACAATGGGAAGATGGGTATTTTAGAATACGGGCTCTCTGAAGGAGGACTGCATCCTAAAAAGGTAAAAACAAAGGATGGTATCACAATCAGTCACATATCCGACATGCATGTGACGTTTATTTTCCTTTTTTGCTTATTCCTCCTGTCAGTGGCCATGTGTCTTGCTGCCCCTCCCTGCCCCATGTCCTGTTCCTACTCTCCACACCCACCTTGGACCTTGGGCTTCATTCAAGTGTCTGAGGATTTAGGTAAGATGTTTACCTGCTTTTATATTATATCTGCGTGTCACACAATCACTCAGAATAGGCTGTGGTCCTGCTCTTAAAGTACTTGCCCTCTAGGATTTTTTGGACCTTGTTTTTTGTTGTTAAGTGCTGTTGAGTCTACTTCAACTTGTAACAACCCCATATAGGGTTTCCAAGGAGCAACTAGCGGGTTGTGGTTGTAGTCCAGAGCTTATCCTACAGTGCCACACCAGGACTCATTTCTGACCTTACTCCTATACACACAAATCCTTTATGACAGTTGGGAAAGGACAAGCCGCTCTTACTCTTGAGCTCTTCAAGGAACTTAAATAAATCCTTCTCTTGCATTATCGCGATCCGGGCAGCATTGGCAAAGGCAGCCATGCTGGAGCTTGGCGGCATGCCCGTGTCTGGTTTCAGCCGACTTTTTCCATAACCCACATCAGAGGGACTCCACAGCATTCCTGCAGTGGTTTCATGGAATTTTCTTCGGAAATAGCTAAAAAAAAAAAAAAAAAAAAAAAAAATCCAGAAAAAAGTTCTATAGTTTTCTGAAAAAGTGTCAAAAAACCATAAACGTCAATTTGCAAGTTGTCATATATATGCTTATGAACTCACTTTAAATTTGTGTATTCATTCAACCATATCTATTGATGATCTATTTCTGTGACTTTTTATGGAATATCTACTGAAATTCCCCACAGGCCATTTAGCTATTTTCAAGTTTTGATTTCTCTCTTCTTCCTAAGATACCTCCCAGTCTTATCTAGAAAAATCCCTATGGGTTACAATCCTCAACAAACCTGTGAGGACTACCAGCTTGAATAAATACTATCCATTCCTATTACATTTGTTGTTGTTGTTAAGTGTCATCGAGTCGGGTCCGACCCATAGCGACCCTGTTAGTTGTTGTTAAGTGTCATCGAGTCGGGTCCGACCCATAGCGACCCTGTACAGGGTTTCCGAGGGTGTAAATCTTTACGGGAGTAGAAAGCCTCATCTTTCTCCCGCGGAGC